CGTAGGTGTTCGCAATATGTGCCAAGCGGGCGAAATGTAAGGCTAAAGACCGGTCTCCGCCAGTGACTGCTGAAGATCTGTCGTAAACGAGTGCCGTGAGCGAACAGCCATCAGGGTCATCGTCGGCACCACCATCAGTATCACCATCATCATCACCATCACCATCACCATCACCCTCACCATCACCCTCATCATCATCATCATCATCATCATCACCATCACCATCACCATCATCATCATCATCATCATCATCATCCACCTCATCAATGTCATCACGAGAAGCAGAAGCAAACCCAGTGCCATAACCTTCATGCTCCAACAGCAGCACATGAGAATGATGTTTGCATGATGGCAACTATCGTGATGAATACAATGACTAAGATAGTGCTGATGGCGATGATCATGCTGGGGATGTTGATGGGTCTTGACACTCATCACCATGACCTTGCAACAAAAAGCTACGCTAAGATACTGTTTGCAATACAACCCTAGCCCTAAGGTTCCAAGTACCTAATGATCATATACTCTCCCAAATAGTAACTTGCATAACTACTATCCGAAACCTAAGTACCTGATTATTGGGTCCTTTGGACCCTTGGGGACAGGCTCGGCTGCCTGAGCGTCGGACCAAGGCCATCGCTTTCGGATGAGATTGTCGGTAGGTGCTGCAAGTTAACCCTTACCTAAACCCCCAAAAGTAGGTAAAATAATGGCCCAAGACCCAGGAAAGGCTATTATTTTACATACTTCTGGGGTCCAGGTACCCTCAAAGGACTCATATTTGAAGGCTCTTGGGCCCAAAGACCCTATTATATAAGGCTTTTGGGCTATTTTGATGCTAAGTGTAAGGTCTTGGCTTGGCGTTGTGTGACACACCAATTCACGTTCAAGCGAAAGACCAAGATAGGGGCCTTAATAACTAGAAAACTGGTGTTTTTGGGGGGTATATTCTACTATAACCATAATAAGGAATCCACAAAAATAGCACAGGAAGTTATTATTACTTTCCGAAATCCGGGGAGCCTGAAGCACAGCTTCATTGCTGCAAGCCCCATCAAAAGATGTCAAGCCCGCTGAAGCCGAATCCAGCTGCGGCCAGTTGAACCCAACAGATGCAAGGATGCGATGCCGATAGAGCTAGGACAGCAATCAGAAGTAACTTTCGATGCTTTAGAGGCCGTAGGCTTACGGGGTTTTAGGATTTTGAGTGAAATACCAAAACCATTGCGAAGGACCAGGGCTCTAATCAACAAGGTCCTGCAACCTAAACCCTGCCCTACGGCTCAGCATGGCTTGAAGCCTGAACCCTCCACATTGGGACCCACAACTTTTTGCGAACCCATGGATTCTTGGGAAGTGCTTCTGGCCTTTGCAACATCCCACAGTCACAATACTGCTTAATGTAGGGGCCTTAATAATTAGGATAAGGCTTGGGGTATATTATACGATAAGTCAAATGCGGAACCCCCAAAACCCAATGATAATTTTTGGGGCACCTACATTACTCATAAACCCTACAGTACTTCCTTTTGGGGGTTCATATATAGAATCCTATAAGGAAACACCAAAAAGGAACTACTATGGGGCCTATGGGTAAGTCGCAGCTGCCCTAAACCCTAAACCCTAAACCCTAAACCCTAAACCATAAACCGTTTCGAAGGGCCTAGGTCTTCGGGTTTTTAGAAATCCAACCGTGCACCCGCATGGAGTAGGTTACTTATTGGGGGTGCGCTTCAAACCCTTATGGACAAAGGGTTTAGGGTTTTGGGTTTATAAGGGTTTAGGGTTTAGGGTTCACCTTTGCAACGTGCTCAGATTTCGTGTTTCCAAGGTTGGGACTCGAGCATGTCGGACTCTTTCGATCAGAGACCCCAAGTACCCAGACCTCTAGTTTGCTTTGTCTTCAGCACCTCAATGCCCGAAAGCCTGGATCTCGGTTTTTGGGGGGTTCCTTAATATAGGTATTAGGTATAATATACCCCCAAACCCTATTCCAATTATTGAGGACCCTACATTACACTTTCCTGGTATGCTTCAGGCTGCCTTTGTGGGGATTTGAAGGTCGGGATCTGAGGATCTCGGCAAATGGACAGCAGAGTGCTGAAGGTGTAGTGCGGTTTTCGTAAGGTGTAGGGTTTACGGTTTAGGGTTTAGGCTTTGGGGTTTAGGGTTTAGGGGTAGGGTTTAGGGCTTTAGGAGGTTTGGAGTTTAGGGTTCACGAGCTTGACGCGCTGTTGGGGATGCAGGTGCAATCGCACTGCTTCTCTGCACTATTTTGTGAAGGTAGGTTTCTGAAACCCTAACCCCTAAACCCTCAAGAACCTGCTTTGTTGAGAGATCCGCAAGCAGGGATGAACCTCTTTTGGATTGGGTCTACAGGATCTAGTATACCTTAAGAACCCCAAACCCAACTTTTTGGTAGGTTCTTATTTGGGATTTATAGGGACCCTACAAAAAAGTAGGTTTTGGGTTCTTAGGGTAGGGCTATAACCTAGCCTGAGAGAAAGCACCCCTTGCGCTAGAAGTTGTGAACGATGCTAATGTAGGGGCCTTAGTAATCAGAATAAGGTTTTGGGGTATAGTATAAGTATAACAAGGATCTCCCACAACAGTATTGGCAATTATTTAGGCCCCTATATTCAGCAGGTGACTGCATTGACCCTCAGACAAGAGACTTAGAACAACACACCTTTCACATGAGCTAGTGATCAAGGATGTTGAAGAGAGAACCTACACGATCGGAAATAAGAGAGACAACGCACAACGACTAAGGCGACTGATAAACAACAATACCTCTCATATTCATACCCATCGGAAGCTGCTTCCAGATACCCTGGTAACCTTCAACCGAGGCAACTCCTGACATGGCAGTGCAGAGGGAACACACCTGCGGGAGAAAACTGGCGCTCGAAGATTGGATCCGACTCCTGGCTACATCTTAGGGCTGGGCCCTTGGCTTTTCAGGATTTTGGGGTCTATAGGCACTCCAGGCTAGCTTCAGTTACCGATTCGGGTTTGGTTTTGCAAGCCTGGGGAAATCTCGGGAAGGCATAACCCCAGAGAGCCCAATACCCCCTAATTGGGAATGTACCTTAAACCATAATATTAAGGCCCCTATAATTTAAGGTATATGGGAATATACCTTAAATCATAATATTAAGGCCCCTGTAATTTAAGGTATATTCAAGCCCCTATAATTTAAAGTATATTATGGCCCCTATAACTTCAGGTATATTAAGGTCCCTGTAATTTAAGGTATATTCAGGCCCCTATCACTACTTCAGGTATATTAAGGCCCCCATAATTTAAGGTATCTTAAGGCCCCCATACTTTGAGGTCTATTACTTAATTAAGGGGTAACCCTAAACCCTAAACCCCAAACCCTAAACCCTAAACCCCAAACCCTAAACCCTAGGTTCTCTGGGACGAGAGCACGGCCTCTGCAGAAGGCAGCCGCTGGCGCGGAATGGAGCGAAGCAAGGCGCCCACATCCGCTTTCTCGATGAGGACGAACATCTCCTGCTTGTTTAGGGTTTAGGGTTTAGGGTTTGGGGTTTAGGGGTTTAGGGTTTAGGGTTCAGGGTTCTACCCAGAGAACCCAAATATCCCATAATTAAGGAATAAACCTTAAATCATAGGGGCCTTAATATTATGATTTAAGGTATATTCCTTCTAATTAGGGGGTATTGGGTGCTCTGGGTACCGCGTGCTCTGGGTACCGCGTAAGCCACCACTTTGAGAAAATCACAGAATCAGGGGATGATGCAGTTCTTGACTCCCGAAATCCTTCAACCCAGGATATTCTAAACCTCAGGGCACTACTCGTGGTCAGTTCTGATCCCTGGGTAGAGAGAGGCTTCGCAGGGCGTGGGACGGGCGTTTCAGGCGAAGGATGTGGACTATCGGTTCAAACTAAGCTCAAATATCGATTGACACCGTTGAAGTTAGAATGGTTCTTCATCAAGTTTTCAAGACTGAAAAAGTCGCTTTCTGTTTTGTATAATACTTCGACCTCTTTGCGATGCTCATGCCTCGCCTACCCAAGGTATCCGCACTAGCTGCTCTGAGGTTTAGGGTGTAGGGTTTAGGGTCACTAGCTCTTTGGACCATTTTGTTCAGGGCTTATAGTGCTTAGACGTTGGGATCTTATGTCGAGTCGCAGGCTATGAGTCACCATAGAAGGTTTCGGGTGCACAGCTGAGCGTTTCGGAATCAGGGGCTGGGCCTAAACCATTGTCTCTATAGGTCTGCAAATGTGCATGCACATATATATATATATATGATGTTGTTGTTCTCTTTCTATTTCTGTAATTAGGTCTCTTTTATGTACAAGCATGCGCACAGCCACCCCCACACACACACATACCTCTGTGTGTATGTATATATATATATACACATGTACATATATATATATATGTATATATATCATATGTCTGTCTGTCTGTCTGTCTGTCTGTCTGTCTGTCTGTCTGTCTGTCTGTCTGTCTGTATGTATACGTGTACGTATACATGCATGTAGGACAAGCAGGCTCATGCTCTGGAGCCTTGGGCTTGGATGAGATCCGTTCCAAAGTCGCGGTGGAGGGACGCTGCCGGGGCAGCAGTGCTCTAACTTACCAATACCCTCAAAGGACTCACATGTTAAGGCTTTTGGGCCCAGAGACCCTGTTATCTACGGCTTTTGGGCTATTTTGATGCTGAGGGTTAACATAGTATAGTATGACGTAACACAGTAGAAATACTGTACTACACTGTGACTATAGACTATATATTATATGGTAACATGGTTCAATTTATGTATGACCTCATGTAACGCAGTATGACATAATCGAAAACTACATGGAATACATTCCCTAAGGGTCCATGTGCTCATATCGTAATTATATACATTGGCCTTAATGTAGTCCCTATATAGATACTTTAGGGCCCATGCATATACTATATGAGTACATGGACCCTTATGGGTTGTGCCACTTCAGGATTCAGAGCTCTGAAGACGTTCAGGTCGAACTGGCGGAGATCTTCCTGCACTCCGCTTCGAAGAGCCGCTGATATCTCTGAAACCTGGCACTGCCAGGGTTCAGGGGCACGTACCAGGCTTCTTCCTCTTCTTTATACTGGCGGTACCAGGCTTCATAGGCTGCGTCATCTTCATCATAGACCCTGCCCTTGCCCTTGCCCTTGCCCTTGCTCTTGCGCTTGCCCTTGCCTTTGCCTTTGCCCTCGGCCCACAGCTTCTCCTCCTGCCATCGCCTGTTCCGCTCCTCGTGCCACTGCTGCCACTCATACCACTCTCTGGTCCACTCCTCCCACTCCCGGTGGCGCTTGCGATCCACCCAGGAAGTGAAATCAACGAGCCGACCGTCGGAGTTGACTCGGACGTCCTTGGGAATTTCTGTATTGCACCAGAGCCAGCCGTCGCTCAACCACCGGGGGTTTCCATCCCATCTTTCACGATCTTCCTCGTAATAGCGAACTGGCCGCAAGGCTCTCTGACATATGTACCGCTCAGCATCGTCGACGAAAGCAGCGTCATTGACGCGATTCTCGTTGATGCTAGGCCATAATGCCGGAGCAGTTTCTCGAATCCGACCTCGGTCCTGCCGCAGATCTGGAGTCACTTGCAACCTGCGAACGAGGAGACGGCCTCTGAAGTCATTCTGTCGCAAAGCCCTGTACACTTTATCGTCATGAACTCCGGCGACATCGTAAGCATCCGGGAAGAAAGGTGTACCTTCATCAGTGTCCAACATCCATAGCTCCTCCCTCATTGATGTAACTTTTCGCGCAGAGGATAGATTGTCCGACAAGCGCATCAAGACTCCGCCAGAGTGCACGAAAACGGTACCAGACGGACCGGCAATAAGTGGGCGGGAATACGTCAGCTTTCCATCGAAGTTATCGCATTTTGGGAACCAAAACATCAGTTCCCCAGCCTCACCGTCCGCGCAACCCCGACGGGAAGGATCTCCGAGTGTCATGGCAGCTTGCCAAACGGATCCAGCTTTCTGGTACACCCGAATTGCATGCTCGCCGACAAAGGTGAGTAGAAGGGAAGAAGACACGCTTGACCATGCAATACTGCTCACCATTTTGGACGGGCCCCCAAGCAAAGGAAACTGGTCAACCTTTTCACACGGCTTGTCACCGCGCAGCCGTGTGAACACCACCTCGCGCCCAACAAGACCTCTCTGAACAAAGATAGCTCGCAGGTTTTGCCTGTCCAAGCATACTGCTTCACATGTGGTGCTTGGCGCTGTCAAGCGCTGCCACTTGATTGCTGCCGGGCATAGCTCCAGTGAGATGAGATGCACTTTGGTGAAGCCGATGAACACTCGCGCCACTGCAATGCCAAGGGAGGGCACCGGAAAGCCCTGCATAGCTTCAGCTGCAAGTATCTCCGCTGTCCAGTGCAGCGGGTGATCAACATCTAACTGCACCTCCGTAGGGTTACCCTCGGAAGGTACAATGATCAGCGATGCCGGCCCAAGGAAGGGTCGTCGCCTCCAAAGACCTTTGCCCATGCCCTTGACATCCTGGTCATCTTCACTTTCGGAAAGGCCATGTCCTCGGTCTTCGGGAGCACGCTCGTCCAGGTCCCTCGTGGAGCGCACAAGGAGGACCATGCCAGACTCAGGGTCGAGACCCCAAGATTGGATGGCACTGTTCGGGAGCACGACGTTGAAGTCTTTACCACCGAACTCCCAATCGCGCCTCGTCACGGTCGCCCATGTGTCTGTCTCTGAGACGGTGATCACTTGCAGCTCCTCCATGAATCCACCAGCCAAAGCTGGAGCCGTCCACCGGGCTTCCAGCTCAGACACACCCTGGGGCAGGTGCAGCAACCTCTCTTCTTCAACAACCAGGCCCAAAACAAAAATCAAGCTGTTTAGGATAGACCTAATATACAGGACAAAAAAGTTTAAAGTTCTCCCATTACCTATCTAAGCAACAGCGTGACGATCACAGAGTCTGTTGAAGAGCCAGGCACCAGCAGCAAGTCCGAGTCTTCAAGGGTCCGATCTCCTCACATCACCCGATACCCGATATACCCTTTAATAAGGCAAGATGCCTCAAATTATAGGGGCCATGATATTATGATTTCAGGTGTTACGGGTATTGGGTTCTCTGAGTCCTATGATGATCTGCTGCGTTGCACTCGGCGGACCGATCTTCTGCTCGATCTGCAACTTGAGTTCTACGCAGCGTGACGAGGAATTCAGGTGGAACTTGCCAATCTCTTGCCCGGCCGGTCCGCACACAGCAAACTCCACGTCTTGCGCCATGCGGCATGCGGAGCCCAAGGCACAAAGGCAGAAACAAAGAGGATTTGTTATTGTTACACAGCAGCACAGAAGAGCTGAATGGTACACTACTATAATGCGGCCTTACGTGGGACAGTGTCTTACAAGCGCTGAACTCCACAACACGAACAGCCGAATGCCCTCCAACATGTTGTAGTGCAAACAGCAAACGAACAATAATGTCGGCTGCAGAAGCTGCTTCAAATGAAAACGGAGGCGAATACATATGGATTGGCACATCAGCTGGTCTCAAACACAATCGGTGTGTCTGCATCAGACTTTAGCAGAGCTCTCGTCCACAGTGTTAACCCTGTCTTTGATCCCCGTTACGATCGTCGGCGTGCACGACGGACCGGAGAGGCAAAGCATTCTCCAGACTCATTTTCGGAGCAAAGGAAAGGAAGATTTGCTTCCACCCTTCGCGGTCGTCGCACATGAGGCCATATGTACAAAGCCATGGGACCAAGCCGTGCACTGAGAAGGAGGCCGCAGTGATTTTCAGGCCCTATAGTCGGATAGAGCCAAACCTTGAAGCCCGGAATCGCCTAAACACCCGACCCCAACGCCTCTAACTCAAGCCACACACTATCAACCCCAAGGTAGCTGGGGTGGTAAGAGCGACACAACAAATACTATTTCTTCTTCTACTACTACTGCTACCACTGCTGCTGCTGCTACTACTACTACTACTACTACTACTACGACGAAGAATCATAATAATATTGATTACTACTGCTACTACTACTACT